TGGTGCAAACCGGAAATGGCTATCTTAAACCGTTTTGAAATGGTGAGCCCGTGAACTCCAAAATATTTTTTGAGATACGGTTTGAAACCCGATTTTGGTTTAAAGTCAATATATATTCAACAACTGAAGGCAAACATTAATTCTGTAGTGCAAAATTAATCTAAACACTCATTTTCATGCATATCGGAAGAGTTTCATTTTTTAGCCTTATTTTTCGCTTTACGTCATCAATCACGTCAATCAAGAAAATTTCGGATTGCAATCAAATCAAAGTATTCCTGTTAATAAGGCTTCCAGCTTTCTGCAAATTGGTCACTTTACCAATTTCGATCTCGAAAATACGAATCCGAGATCAAAATTGACCTACGGAGCTTACCGATTTTTTGACGATTTTTTCATATGTTGCTACCTACAGAAAAATGACATCGTTCGCTTTATCGGTTTCCAAGACCCGAACGGCGAACTTATCCGGCCCGAAAATGGGTGAACGCGACTAAAAAGCACCCAGGAATCCAATGGTGCAAACCGGAAGTAGCTATCTTAAACCGTTTTGGAATGGTGAGCACGTGGACTCGAAAATCTTTTTTGAGATACGGTTTGAAACCCGATTTTGGTTTAAATTCAATTAATATTCAACAACTGATGGCAAACATTAATTTTGTAGTGCAAAATTAGTCTAAATACTCATTTTCATGCATATCGGAAGAGTTTCATTTTTTAGCCTTATTTTTGGCTTTACAAAAATTTCGGATTACAATCAAATCAAAGTATCCCTGTTAATATGGCTTCCAGTCTTCTGAAAATTGGTCACTTTACTAATTTCGATCGCTAGAATACGAATCCGAAATCAAAATTGACCTATGGATCTTACCGATTTTTTTTCGATTTTTTTATATGTTGCTACCTATAGAAAAATGGCATCGTTCGCTTTATCGGTTTCCAAGACCCGAACGGCGAACTTATCCGGCCCGAAAATGGGTAGACGCGACTAAAAAACTTCCAGGAATCCAATGGTGCAAACCGGAAATAGCTATCTTAAACCGTTTTGAAATGGTGAGCCCGTGAACTTGGAAACATTTTTGGAGATACGGAATGAAACCCGATTTTGGTTGAAACTCATTTAATATTCAACGACTGTTAACAAAAATAAATTCTGCAGTGCAAAACTAATCTAGACACTCATTTTCATGCATATCGGAAGAGTTTCATCTTTTAGCCTTATTTTTCCTTGTTAATATGGCTTCCAGCCTTCTGAAAATTGGTCACTTTACTAATTTCGATCTCCAAAATACGAATCCGAGATCAAAATTGACCTACGGAGCTTACCGATTTTTTTTCGATTTTTTTATATGTTGCTACCAACTGAAAAATGACATCGTTCGTTTTATCGGTTTCCAAGACCCGAAGGGCGAACTTATCCGGCCCAGAAATGGGTGGGCGCGACTAAAAAACTTCCAGAAATCCAATGGTGCAAACCGGAAATAGCTATCTTAAACCGTTTTGAAATGGTGAGCCCGTGAACTCGAAAATATTTTTTGAGATACGGTTTGAAACCCGATTTTAGTTTAAATTCAATTAACATTCAACAACTGATGACAAATATTAATTTTTGTAGTGCAAAATTAGTCTACATACTCATTTTCACGCATATCGGAAGAGTTTAATTTTTTAGCCTTATTTTTCGCTTTACCTTTAATCAAGAAAATTTCGGATTGCAATCAAATCAAAGTATCCCTGTTAATATGGCTTCCAGGTTTCTGAAAATTACTCAGTTTACTAATTTCGATTTCTAGAATACGAATCCGAGATCAAAATTGACCTACGGAGCTTACCGATTTTTTTTCGATTTTTTTATATGTTGCTACCTACTGAAAAATGACATCGTTCGCTTTATCGGTTTCCAAGACCCGAACGGCGAACTTATCCGGCCCGAAAATGGGTCGACGCGACCAAAAAACCTCCAGAAATCCAATGGTGCAAACCGGAAATAGCTACCTTAAACCGTTTTGAAATGGTGAGCCCGTGAACTCGAAAATATTTTTTGAGATACGGTTTGAAACCCGATTTTAGTTTAAATTCAATATATATTCAACAACTGATGGCAAACATTTATTCTGTAGTGCAAAATTAGTCTAGACACTAATTTTCATGCATATCGGAAGAGTTTCATTTTTTAGCCTTATTTTTGGCTTTACAAAAATTTCGGATTACAATCAAATGAAAGTATCCCTGTTAATATGGCTTCCAGATTTCTGAAAATTGCTAACTTTTTTAATTTCGATCTGTAGAATACGAATCCGACATCAAAATTCACCCACGAAGCTCACCGATTTTTTTTTCGATTTTTTTATATGTTGCTACCTACAGAAAAATGGCATCGTTCGCTTTATCGGTTTCCAAGGCCCGAACGGTGAACTCATCCGGCCCGAAAATGGGTAGACGCGACTAAAGAACTTCCAGGAATCCAATGGTGCAAACCGGAAATAGCTACCTTAAACCGTTTTGAAATGGTGAGCCCGTAAACTCGAAAATATTTTTGAGATACGGTTTGAAACCCGATTTTGGTTTAAATTCAAATAATATTCAACAACTGATGGCAAACATTAATTCTGTAGTGCAAAATTAGTCTAAATACTCATTTTAATGCATATCGGAAGAGTTTCATTTTTTAGCCTTATTTTTTACTATTTAATCAAGAAAATTTCGGATTGCAATCAAATCAAGTTATCCCTGTTAATATGGCTTCCAGCTTTCTGAAAAGTACTCACTTAACTAATTTCGACCTCTAGAATACGAATCCTAGATCAAAATTGACCTACGGAGCTTACCGATTTTTTTTCGATTTTTTTATATGTTGCTACCCACTGAAAAATGGCATCGTTCGCTGTGTGGGTTTCCAAGACCCGAACGCCGAACTTATCCGGTCCGAAAATGGGTAGACGCGCCTAAAAAACTTCGAGGAATCCAATGGTGGAAACCGAAAATACCTATCTTAAACCGTTTTGAAATGCTGAGCCCGTGAACTCGAAAATATTTTTTGAGATACGGTTTGAAACCCGATTTTGGTTTAAATTCAACTAATATTCAACAACTGATGGCAAACATTAATTCTGTAGTGCAAAATTAGTCTAGATACTCATTTTCATGCATCTCGGAAGAGTTTCATTTTTTAGCCTTATTTTTCGCATTACCTTTAATCAAGAAAATTTCGGATTGCGATCAAATCAAATTATCCCTGTTAATATGGCTTCCAGGTTTCTGAAAATTACTCGCTTAACTAATTTCGATCTCTAGAATACGAATCCGAGATCAAAATTGACCTACGGAGCTTACCGATTTTTTTTCGATTTTTCTATATATTGCCACTACAGAAAAATGACATCGTTCGCTTTGTCGGTTTCTAAGACCCGAACGGCGAACTTATCCGGCCCGAAAATGCATGGACGCGACTAAAACACTTCCAGGAATCCATTGGTGCAAACCCGAAATAGCTATCTTAAACCGTTTTGAAATGGTGAGCACGTAAACTCAAAAATATTGTTTGAGATACGATTTGAAACCCGATTTTGGTTTAAATTCAATATATATTCAACAACTGATGGCAAACAATAATTCTGTAGTGCAATATTAGTCTAAATACTCATTTTCATGCATATCGGAAGAGTTTCATTTTTTAGCCTTATTTTTGGCTTTACAAAATTTTCGGATTACAATCAAATCAAAGTATCCCTGTTAATATGGCTTCCAGCTTCCTGAAAATTGGTCACTTTACTAATTTAGATCTCCAAAATACGAATCCGAGATCAAAATTGACCTACGGAGCTTATCGATTTTTTTATATGTTGCTACGTACAGAAAAATGGCATCGTTCGCTTTATCGGTTTCCAAGACCTGAACGGCGAACTTATCCGGCCCGAAAATCGGTGGACGCGATTAAAAAACTCCAAGGAATCGAATGGTGCAAACCGGAAGTCGCTATCTTGAACCATTTTGAAATGGTGAGTCCGTAAACTTGGAAACATTTTTGGAGATACGGAATGAAACCCGATTTTGATTTAATATTCAACAACTGTTAACAAAAATAAATTCTGCGGTGGAAAACTAACCTAGACACTCAATTTCATGCATATCGGAAGAGTTTCAATTTTTTTAAGTGTACGTAAAGTTAAAAAATCTGCAGATTAATGCATACGGTGCTTTCGGATGTTACATTAAACATTACCAACGGACACGCTACACGACAGACAGCCGGAAACGAGAAAAGTTCAAGGCTATAGTTCATGCCATCGAAATTGAGGGGCGGCAACACGTAAAACAAAGTCGTACAGACTCAGTATAACTCGGTACTAAAATCTGTAACATTATTGTGATGATTAATGGGTTTTTCACTCTCCAAATATTATTGCATGAGTTCGTCGAATTTAAACGCACACACGAGTTATGTAAATGTATTCACACATTATAACATTTTTCTTGAATGAGTTTTCCGGAAATGGCAACTTTCTTGATTTCATACGGTACTAAAGCAGTCAACTGCGATTATGATTTTTTTAAATCGATGATTAGTTCTAATTATTTTTAACCGTGACCCGCAACCAATGTCGAATTCTTCCTCAAAGGAAATTAAACCGTCCATTGTTCTCTTATTATCTCTGGTTATAACCACTTCCAAGGCACCCAATCGATCCGATCCGATTTATTAAATAACACCGTTACAAATTACTGAGTAAATATGTCGAGGAAGTGGCAACGTCCGATCGATTAGCCGTCGATTGGCGGTACTTCGTTCAGTACTTCCGCGCTGTCCATTCAAAATGCGTGAAAATCCAGTGCGTGTCGTACCGCCGGATAAATAAATAAATAAACAAGTAGTTAGAGTTCGGCCGTCCCCATACTCACTCTAATTGAATTATCCGTTTAACTCGATTAAGCCCGGAACCTCCAGTCCTCGCTCGGCACGCCATAACACATTTCCTATTTATTTACAATCCGTAACCGCTTATCGCGAACTTCTCGTTCTGATAAGAGCAACCCATCCAACTGCCGGCGCAGTAGTGACAATGCAATGAATCAGAAAAAACGCGCAGGAATGACTCAGTGAAGATGGAAGAAGCGCGCAGTCCGAGTGTGAAAAGTGCGGTGAACTTCTTCAACAGCTTGAGCAAAGACCCCTTCGAGCTCAACGTGAAGATCAAGGAAATCAAGCTCCCGCGGGTACGACTTCGGAGCAGTACCGACGCGCTGAGTCCAGATGCCGAGGCTAAGAGGATCATCGCGGACTTCAGCAAGCGGATTTCGCCCTACAACACGTTCAAGCTCCCCGTGGACGCCATCCACAGCGACTTTTTCAAGCAGAATCTCGAGCCGCTGCTGCCCGACGTGGTCGTGCCGAAGAAACGGAGAAATCGGGTGTATAAGAAGATTGCTAAGAGGTGTGTAATTAATGTAAAAGGAGCGAAAAATGGGCGTTGAAAGTGGAGTGATTGTGGGGTAATTGTCGATCGGTGTTAATCTGAGAGATTATCCGTGATTATGGGAAGTGGATGAAAAAATTGGCGAACATCTGGGGAACAGTTGGTGCTTGGGTAGTGGGAAAAACGCCGGCGAAGTCGGTCAAGATGCGTTTTTGATTTAAGGAGTGCGGGGTGTGGAAGCGGATTTGGATAAAGGCGTCTTGGATTAACCGAATTAGGTCATTTCTGGGTTGGTGGGATCAGGGTCGTACGAATTCTGCTTGGAGTGTTTACAGTTGGTACTACCGCATTAGGAAATATTGTGGAATTTTAATCATCGTTATATAAATCAGTGTCGCCAAACATAAAATACACAGTTCCGAGAAATCGCTGCAGTACTCAGAGGAGAAGAATTTACTAATTTATTAGTAAAAATTTTATTCAAATATACGTCAAACGGCAAATTCAACACGACAATTACCAACTGCATTCTTATAATTATGGTTAACTCCAACTCTATTGTTTTATGGCTTGATAAGGTTAATTAATGCTTTCACAGGTGGACTGTTCACATGTACTATTATCGAGGAGTTCTAGAAAAATTCTATTGAGGCAATACGAAAGTTTAGCATGTAGGGAGTATCGGGAGCCGTAGGTAGAGCTAAATTAGGAAATAATTCGTAACTCAGTTAGATAGAAACCAAATTTCGATGAAATTTCTGAAATATGAAACAATCTGTACTCTTAAAGTTAAAAAAATTGGTTCAAGGTCATTTAGACAGAGTTTTCCTCATCTTTAAAGTGCAGTTCAACAAATTCAGCTTCTTCGAAAAACGATAAAAGTTGATTTTGCGAAATTTTATTTATTTTATGATAACTCCTATATACACACAAGTCCAGATAATACCAGTCAAGGTGTATAAAAAAGTGGCTCATAAAATATTATTATGTAATTGATTTTTTTTGTTTGTAAAACTTGGATGCCTAAAAGTAAAAACTTAAGGCAGATTCATAAACTACAACTACGGAAATGTGTCCTTTTATAAGATTTAAATGGTGTGGTGGTAAAAAATGCAACAGAAAAAGGGAACAAGAAGAAATATTACCATAAAGAAGACGAACGAAGGCGATAAAAATGAGGACAAAAAAAACTCCAAAGAGAAGGTAATAAAACAGGTGACTAGAAAGTCCATAATAAAAAGTGACATAAACGATAACAAACAAAAAAGACGATAAGAAAGTCTACAGTAAAAAGTGACGAAACGAGCGTTAAAAAGATGACAAGAAAGAATACTTCAAAAAGGCAATAAAAAAGTAAAACAAAAAAAGGCGATGAAACAGGCGACAATAAAGTCCACAATAAAAAACACAGAAAAACCCAAAAAAAGGTGAAACGAGAGTTCCACATATACTTAGTATTCTTTGAACAACACGATACTCAAAAACATCTTTTTTATTTCTCGTCGAGAAATACTAATAAAAAAATCATCAGAATTGCGATAGGGCGGGTGGGCGGGGCTTATATTTTCCCTTTTTTCTTAATATTCATAGCCGTCTTTTCACAATAACTTAGAATATGGTTAATATGGTACATTTTTGCAAGGAAATATGGATTTTGCAATTATCGGGCGGACCTTAACTGCAAAATCGATATTTCCTTCCACAGATTTTCCATCTTAAAATGTTTTAATTTTCATGTTACGAAAAGTAATCCACACATATTAAAACAAAAAGGCATAATGTAAGCCCGCCCACCCGCCCTGTCTCAATTGTGATGACTTTTTTTATGCGCCGTTAATAAAGAGGGCGGAGCTTAACTGCAAAATTATTATTTCTTTACAAGGAATTAAAAACATGTTTTTGAGTATCGTCTTGTTCAAAGAATACTATGTATATTAAGAAAAAAAGGCAAAATGTAAACCCCGCCCACCCACCCCATTTCAATTGCAATGATTTTTTAAATCCTTAAAAACCTAAAACACGTTTAAAATGGTAAATTTTTGTATGAAAATATGGATTTTGCAAATAGGCTCCGCCCTTAGTTACATCGGCGGGGGGGGGGGGGCGGGGCTTATATCTTCCCTTTGTCCCTAGTATACGTGGTCGTCTTTTCAGAACAAGAAACTTAAAACATGGTTAAAGTGGTAAATTCTTCTAGACAAATATGGATTTTGCAATTAAGCCCCACCCCTCGATATCACAACGAATGAAAAATTCATCACAATTGAGAATTGAGATCGGGGCGGGTATGGGTGTGTCTTAATCTTTAGCTTTATTTTTTTCTTAATATACATAGTATTTTTTAAACAACACGATACTCAAAAACATACTTTTATTTTCTCGTAGAGAAATAAGGATTTTGCAGTTAAGCTCCGCCTTCTTGGCTCACGACTAATAGAAAAAAATTATCACAATTGAGATCGGGTGGGTGGGCGGGGCTACATTTTTCATTTGTTTTTTCTTAACATGTGTAGACTTATTTCGACAAGAAGAAACTTAAAACATGATAAGAAGGTCTACAGTAAAAAATGACGAAACTAGCGTTAAAAAAATGACAAAAATAACGACAGAAACGTCAAAAAAAGCGACAAAAAATGCAGCTGAAAAAAACGACAGATAAAAAACTATAAAAAGGGTGACATGAAAGAATACTTCAAAAGAGCAATAAAAAAGACTAAAAAATGTGTTAAGAATAGCGGCAAAATAAAACAAAAAAGGCTATAAAACAAGCGACAATAAAGTCCACAATAAAAAGCCAAAAAAAAGGTGAAAAGAGAGTCCAGAATAAAAAGCGACAAAAAATGCCACACAGAAAGGATGACAAAAAAATGGCAGAAACGTCGAAAAGAAAAGGCGACAAAATTGCAACAGAAAAAATCAACAAACACGCGAATAAATATCTATAAAAAAGCGACAAGAAAGTATCGATTTTGCAATTAGGCTCCGCCCATCGGTGTGACAACGAATGTAAAATTCATCACAATTGAGCTTGGCATGGATATGAGTGGGGCTTAATTTTTGGCTTGTTTTTTTTAATGTACTTAGTATTCTTTGAACAACACGATACTCAAAAACATCTTTTTTATTTCTTTTAAAGAAATACAGATTTTGCAGTTAAGCTCCGCCCCCTTGGCTCACGACGAATAAACAGATCATCACAATTGAGATAGGGCGGGTGGGCGGGGCTTATATTTTGCCGTTTTTTCTTAAAATACATAGCCATTCACAACAAGAACTTAGAATATGGTCAAAATGGTACATTTTTGCAAGGAAATATGAATCTTGCATTTATGGGGCGGAGTCTAAATGCAAAATCGATATTTCCTTATACAAATTTTCCATTTTAAACATGTTTAAGTTTCATGTTGTGAAAAAAGTCTACACATTAAAACAAAGAATTAGAGTGTAAGCCCGCCCACCCGCCCTATCTCAATTGTGGTGATTGTTTTTCATTCGCCGTGAACTAAGGGGGCGGACTTAACTGCAAAATACTTATTTCTTTACAAGAAATCATAAACCCCGCCCACGCACTCCATCTCAATTGTGATGATTTTTTTATTCTTAGAAACTTAAAACACGTTTAAAATGGTAAATTTTAGTAAGGAAATGTGGATTTTCCAATTAGGCTCCGCCCCTAGATCTGCTAACGAATGAAAACTATTAACTAACATTAACTATTTAAATCAGGGCAGGTATTGGTGGGGCTTAATCTTTGGTTTTAATTTTTTTTTGTTTCATGTCTTACATGGTAATTTCTTGTAGAGAAATAATAATGATTCTGCAATTAAATTCCGCCCCTTTGGTTCTCGACGTTTAGAAAAAATTATTACAATTGACATAAGGCGGCTGGGCGGGGCTTATATTTTGCGTTTTTTTTTTTAATATACGTAGTCGTTTTTTCAGAATAAGAAACTTAAAACATGTTTAAAATGGTAAATTCTTGTAGACAAATATGGATCTTGGAATTAAGCTCCGCCCTTCGATTTGACAACGAATGAAAAATTCATCACAACTAAGAATTGAGATCTGGGCGGGTATGGGTGGCTCCTAATATTTGGCTTTATTTTTTTCTAAATATATATGGTTATTTTTATGAACAGGACGATAATCAAAAACATGTTTTTAATTTTTCGTAGAGAAATAAAGATTTTGCAGTTTAGCTCCGCCTTCTTGCCTCACGACGAATATAAAAAAATCATCACAATTAAGATATGGTGAGTGGGCGGGGCTATACTTTGCCTTTTTTTTTTCTTAATACGTGTAGATTTATTTCGACAACAAGAAACTTAAAACATGTCTAATATGGTAAATTTTTGTAATAGCGATAAAAATAGGAACAAATACTCCAAAGGAAAGGTCATAAACAGGCGGCAAGAAAGTCCATAGTAAAAAGCCGATGAGAAGGTCTACAGCAAAAAATGACGAGACAAGCGTTAAAAAGATGACAAAAATAACGACAGAAACGTCAAAAAATGCAGGAGAAAAATACGACAAAAAGCGGATAAAAAACTATAAAAAGGTGACATGAAAGAATACTTCAAAATCGCAATAAAAAAGGCGAAAAAAACATAAAAGTAGCAGCAAAATAAAACAAAAAAGGCGATGAAACAGGTGACAATAAAGTCCACAAGGAAAAGGCCACAGAAAAAACAAAAAAAATGTGAAAAGAGAGATCAGAATAAAAAGTGACAAAGAAAGGATGACAAAAAACGGCAGAAACGTCGAAAAAAAATCGAGAAAAATGCAATAGAAAAAGACGACAAAAATGCGAATAAAAAGCGACAAGAAAGATTACTTCGAAAGGGCGATAAAGAAAGCGAAAAAGGCGATAAAAATAGGAATAAGAAAAACTCCAAAAAAAAAACAACGATGAAACAAGTGAAAAGAAAGTCCATAATAAAAAGCAACAAAAAAAACGACAAAAAATATCAAAAAATTACAAAAAAAGGAAGAAACGTCAGAAAAGGCGAAAAAAATGC